ACTGTTCTTGAAATTGTGTGTAAACACAACTAATCTCAAAATTCAGAATTAAATGCAGGGATTTTTTTTTTGCGCTTTCCCACCGTCACATAACACAGATTGTATTCATAAGCACGAACCACGTGCTAATGGAAAATCACTGTGACAAATAACAGATGCTTCACTACGATACCACGAACAAGAGAACAATTCGCTGATGCTATGTTATTATTATGTAAAAAAAAATGCGTTCAGAAACACGTTTGATAATGTATTTGAGTGTGTTTCAGCAGTTGCGTTTGAGGTTGTTCTACAAAATTAGATGTTTGTTAAAACATATGGGGGGTGGCTTAACCAAAACCATCTTTTTTGCATTTTACACACATTACGACGCTGCCACATGCAATATGATTATTGGAGTGTTCCATGCTTTTCCAACTGTTGAAAAAAAACATGTTAGTCGCAGTGAAACAGATGAATTTTATGAATTCTCATTTAGGAAGAAAAATTATTGCAAAAGCATACACTGAAAATTATTTTTCCAAAATGATGCCTATTTTAATAAAATGAACTCAATCAAAGAAAAAAACACTCATGACTCATTTCAATTTTGATAAGGACAAAAATTACTACGGTATTATTAAAAATTCAAGAGTAGAACTAAATTGAAAATGTAAATTGCTCAAGCTGTGAACTGTTTGAGAAAAAAATATATGATATAATCCAATGGAAAAGTCACCGCGACATATTGGTGGAACGAAGAAGGGACCCAAGCATCGACGTGAACATAGCATCGTCATTCCTGTTTGAATGAATAGCCATCCAATCGAAGAGCAATATCATAAATAACCCTCGGAGTGGATCGACACAAGCGAAAGGAGTAAAAAGATGAGCGAGAAAAGGGGTCGAAAAATGCCTTGCATGTTTAAAACATATATCTCTTTTTATGTCCGATTTGAATGTTTATTCGAATGCATATTTTGTCGGGAATCGACAATTTGGCATTTTTACTGTCCTCCAAGGGGTGTTATGAGTAACACGTGCGCTTAAATATAAGATTCAATAACCATCTCCTTTTCTCCAACATACATAAAAACTTGAATTTCGCACCGATATTAATAGCTTCAATCGTGAGTCTCCGTGAAGTCAATTCCAAGTCAAACGCGATAATCTGAACGAAAACTACATTTTCTTTTATGTGATGTCGCAAAAAAAAAGTGATAAATACATTGCCAGTTCATTTGCTTTAACGTCCACATTTGAACCTACCAAGAATAATCTCAGTTTTTACCGGCAGCTATTACCTTCAGAAGTTAGAATATAAAATATGAAATATATGAATATCGTTTCGATTCATATTAAAGGGAGTTTGTTAGGGTTGTTGAAAAGTGATGGAAGTTTTATCCAATACGCTATAGTGGAATGATGAAGCGAAATGGATTTGCATTCACATAAAAAAAAAATCGTATCCATATTTTTTTATTTGAATGCATGATCGTTATAACGGAGAAGTTGACAAATTTTAGAAGCCGACGTTTTGATTCCTAGGAAAATTTTTAGTCCATTCTTGATTACAGTGGTTGTAATATCAATAACCTATAATATGAGTTCTCTGGACTTGTCGTAACCATATTGAATTAATATTCTTTAACAAAATATCTTTGAACCACTACAATTTTTTTGAATTATTCACAGTTTTTGTCCCAGCAAAATTACATTTTACCGGCAAAGTGAATTATATCAGAAATGTGCACGATGTAATTAGGAAAATTCACAACAAACACTTTGCTGGGCTATAAAATGTATCGTTCTATTAAACTAAACTCATAAAAATGGTATTTCTGTACAAATTTTATTGGCAGATGTTACAGTTTCATGTGTAAAGAAGTAGAATGTATTCGAATTTTATGAGAGAAATTTGCGTGCAACGTTCAATATGCAAAACATTTCCTACATTAAACTCTAGAATGGCAAATGCCTCAAATGATATACGTAAAATAAAGGGAACAAAATTTAATATGTTAAATGGGATTGAAAGAAAAGTTTATTGAGCGTGTTTTCAATCATTTATATTGTTTATCACTAAAAATTCAATTTCCCCATTCAAAAAGTAAAAAAATAATAGCATTTTTATGGTGTACGAAGGAAACAAAAATATATAAATATATTTTTATGGTAAAAAATCTAGAATAATCAGCACGTCAAGAATGGATCAATGAAAATGAGTCTTTTTTAAAAGCCACTCAACTAAATGCAACAATGACATGCAGGGTGGTAGCTGAAATCCTAGAAGGTAATGGATCATATCGTAAGCTTCAAATTACGTGAATAAAACGGGTATTATTTGATCAAAATGATTTTGCTTGTAATCATGTTTACTACAAATATGTCCGATGGATCAGATCCCAAATGCAAATTATTGAATAAATGTCCATCACATTGAATTAGGATAAATGATTCCCTCAGAGGTCGGTGTCGCATATGACATTTTGTCTTTGTCACATACGACTATATACCGAATTTTGGGCCATAAAAGCGGTACGTATGTACATATTTATCAATTTATTCTTTCTCACACTCACGCATTCTGTCAAACATTCAGCTGAAACTCTAAAGAACAAAATCTTTTTTCGATTTTTGACCAATGCTAACGTCACCACGTACGATTTGATTTGATTATCCGTTCATTTATTGTTTTATCGAGTCTTCGAAGTGTTCGTCTCTACCCCACGCATTCATCCATAATCTATGGGTTTTTTTTTATTTATGTGCCATGTGAAAGTCAGCTTTCCGTGTGATATTATTCAAGCATTAACACGTCCCGTGTTCGGACGTTTGTAATTGGATGTGAGAACGGTTCGAATATCGTGGCAGGAAGATGGATGGATTTTATACGAAATTAAAATCGCACCGCAAAATGAAATGTTGGAAAAAATTTATACAGCGGACCATTTTTTTTCTCTCTCGAGCATATATAACATATATCTAAAAGAACATTGCAATATTTTATGCGGTTCGAATTGTAAGCAAATGAAAATGAGTGTTAATGGATGGAAATATACGTTGTTATCACAATTATGTGCATATTAAACGTGTTTATCTGTCTAAAGTTTCCCCTTCAGCATTTATCTGTGGATTTAGATTTGGCACTCACACATATGCCAAACTATGTGGTTAAACGCAGTTCAATTTTGAACATGCCTTACCTATATATACGAATGTACATTCGTCTGACATTACGCATTAGATTGATATACGAGATTAGTGCATGTGCTTGAGGCCGTATGTTTTCAGTATTTCTGATATTCGAGTAATTAATCCCACATGCCGAGAGATATCGAGAGCTATTGTAGCCAATGCATTTAATGCCAGAGTGCCAGTTTTGGCTGTAAGGAACGTCAATTACATTAGGAGGAATCGATAGATGAAATCCACCTATGATCTCCTGCTGCTGTATTTCGAATCGTACCCACTAAATTAGATCAAATCGCTTCGAGACAGTGTTAATGTGATTTTAGTCACTGATTAACAGACGCCCATTTTATCCCAATACGCCACCACTCGACCGAAACAACGACAATAATAACAACATTTGTAATGATGTCAGCACCAATTGTACACTTAATATTTTATACGATGCAATTTTCATTAAAATCTGCGAACTCGCCGTGCATGCGAGTGCAAACAATGGATGAAAATGCGCCCGAAAAAAAAACACTGGAAAATTCAACTGTGAATCAGAATCAATTCGTACAAAAGTAAAATGGAGTACAAAAAAAAATTTCATTAACAAAATGACTTTATCCAAAATGAATTTGGCTCGTTACGTAGTTGATTCGGTTCGTTTATTGAAATGTGATAAAGTTGTTTTACAGTTTGTAAAGCAACGAAAGCAAAAAAAAAACCATAGCAATATCATTTCATTTCACGCTTTTTCCATTTATTCGAACGAAGGTACGTTGGTATACATTGTTCTGCGTAATGATAACAAAATGATTGTGCAATGGTATTGATTTCGAGCTTTTTTTTCCTGTTCGCTCACGTTTCGACGAAATGCGACTGATGTGGAATGCGTTTCAGTTGTGTTGCGAATAATTTCCGGAATATCTCATGTGCATTTTTGTTTTGTTTCCATCGAATGGACGACGGTCGCTTCACGTGGTGATGCCCACGTGAACCCATCAAAATCAAACTGACGAACATATTTCGAAAAATATGACCGACCATAGTTCAGTTTCCAGGTAATTCGGTGGCCAGATCCAGATTCACCGAGAAAAAAAAACCATCCTTAAATTGCTGTGGTCAGACAGCGAGAGGATGAGAGGCTTGTGAAAAAAAAAACACAACAACCGGCACGTGTTTCAACTGTTTGTTCACGTACTTTTGTGATTGAATGTTCGATTCGGAATTGAAAAGCCCGTAAGCTATGCGATGTACAAAATGGTACAATGCCGTAATCCATCGGAAATATTCGCAATAATGTGCGAAATAGATGAAACGCTCATTGTTGTGTTACGTAGTCGTGGCTTCGAAGTAATCGCCTGAATGGATTTTACTGTTACACAAGTCAGGCCATTGCGTGAACACATTCGATTAAGAGGAAAAATATTCGATTCGACAGAGAGGGGGAAAAACACCGTCTGTACATGTGTTTTCAATTAAACAAAAGCAAGAGAGAAAAAACGGCGAAAAAAAATGCCAATTTCATTCATGCAATGAAAATGGAATTTACAACACGGTTTTTTTTCCACTGAAATTCTATTGCAACCGAAAAATATTACAGTTCAAAGGATTTTCGCTCATTCACTATTTTGGCATTCGTATATTAATTTAAATGCATTTTATTTCGAAGAATTGAACATTTCAAAGAAAATGAAATGAATTGCGTACCAAAAACAAGCTATTTACAAATCAAATGTTAAATTTCAAAATATCACAACAGAACCAGGCGCCCTCTATTGACAATCGTTGTCAATTCGCCCGCTTCGTTTGGTGTATGTGAACAGCTGCGCGAAATGCTTAGACACCTCCCTCCATTGGAATGTGACAGTTGACATTTGAGTTGTGGCCCAAACACAGCTATTTAGTTTGTTTGTTTGGTAGTTCGTTGTTATTGGTTTGAATTGTGCGTGTCTTGCACGAAATCGTAAAAAAAGAGAGTTTTATTTTATTGAACATTCCACGAAATCCATTGAAATAGAAATACTAAGAAAATACATGGTATTTTTGTTTGATTCCAGTTAAAATATTCGCTACAAACATGAGTGCCGGCAAGGAAAATGAGAATAAACGTAAGCGAAGCTATTTATATTATTTCCGTATTTAGCAATGAATTCCTTATTTTTGGTTTTTTCAACCAAAATATACAAATGAGTACAAAAATAATCATTTCGTTTTCTATACAGGGAATGAAAACTCATTGCGGTCAAATCCAATGCGAGAAGTAGATGCGTCAAAAGTCGTAGTCAAACCACTGAAGCGACCGATACCGAATAAATCTACACACGCCCCAAATGCGACAATCAAAACGAAATCAAACACAGCGACCGCAACGAAAATCACAAAATTGGTTCTCAAGCCAAAACCCGTCGCATCCAAAAGTTCGTTAACGTCGAAAGTGACAAGCCAGAAATATATCACAAAACCGGTTGCAATTAAGTCAAGGTCGACCATGATTTCACATGAGTCTACCTTTCGCATACGAAATATCAGAAAGGTATCGCCGCCAAGCGAACGACAAAAGGGAAAAAGTGAAGTGATTGTAGTAAATAGCTCGAAAATTTCGCAACAGTTGACTGTAAGTGGAAATAATTCTAAAATAAATGACACCATTGTTGTGAATCAACCATTTGAAATGGTACACAGTGAGCACAGTGCAAACATAACCTCTTTGAATGTAACAAAAATTGTGAGCAGTCCAATTTTACAAGAAATTACATCGACTGTGGTGAATGGATCGAATTTAACCAAAAGTTCTGTGCATGAAATCGAAACGAAAGTTCCGGAAAATGTGAAAAGTCTGAAAAAAATTGCAAACCACTGTGAGAATGAGGTCAAAAGCAAACCAAAATCCTATGATCCGATCAAAGCCCGGCAATTTATTCGGATGCAGAAAGAGAAGCGAAAGGAAATTGAAAAAGAGAAATCTAAGACGCCAGCCACTAAAGAGGAGATTAAACAGCGACTGTCCGCATTGCGTTCGAACACATTGAAAATTGTTGGGAAAAATGTGCAGAAAGCGCGCAAAAGTGTTAATACAAATCCAGGCAATTCGAAATCATTTACACCGAAAACCATGAAAAAACCACCACAATCGAATATTCAAAAACAAAAAGGTGAGCCTGAAATTGTTGATTGTGTTTTGTTTTCAACATTTTTTCAAGAGTAAAATCAACAAAGAAATCCATTTTTTTCCCAAAACTAGAAACAAAGCCAACTTCGAGTGTGTTGCAAACGCCTCAGCAGCTTCGACTGCAGTCAAAAATATCGCCATCTCTTGCCTTAACGCCATCAAAATTCTTGCCATCGATTAAGTCTGATAAAAATCGTATCGGAATTCTACGCCGTCCCGAAGGAGTTTCACCGACCATCGAATCCACCGACACACACATAGTACAAACGTTGTCTGATGGCAGTGCCAATGTTGAACAACATTCAGAATCAAATATTGACCCCAACATATCGTTAGAGAAATCAATTCATAATTCTACCTTCAGAAGTGAGCCAAGATTGTGTGAGTTTGAACTTAAAGTGCCTGAAACCGTTCCGTTAAAATCATCACTACTCCATGAGATCTCGAATAATGGTGTTCAAGATGAGGTACAACATGATAACAGAGATAATGAGCAGCATTTTGAAGATACTGTTGCAAAACCAAGGGATATTCCGTATTGGTTGCGACCAACACCAGTGCAACCATACCCGTATAACTTCATTATGGCGGTAAGAAAAAAGTTGGAATCAATTACACATCCAGTTGTTTCGCTCAAACCACGGCAATGGCCAAATCCCACCGAACATGCATCCTTGCACAGCCCATTGGCGCGACCGAATACCATGTTTGAGTCACACTTCCGCCGTAATTTAGAGCGGCGACAAAGTGAGTCGTCCGAAAATGTACAATCAAGTGATGTGAGTCCACGAAAATCGTCCAATCACATTGAAAATTCTCCCGATCAAGAAGAATACTCAATGGATTTCTCATCAGTTGTATTCGAATCGAAACGGGATCGAAGCAATGCCGTTTCTAAATCAAAACGAAAAAGTGTTAGCGGCTCACAAGACACTCTATCCATATCATCGGGAATTTTATCACATTCAAGTCCTGAAAAGAAGATGCGAAGCAAAACAACGAATGGGACAGGATTTGAAAAAGACGATAAAGCATGGCAACCAAGCCCATTGACAACCGACAATGTTGATGGATTGCATATTACAAGCCGCAGTTTATCGCAAAATGAACGAATATCTAATGCAAATAGTGTAGTTAGTCACAAATCGGCTGCATCAAGTGCTACGTCTCATATTAACTTTGGTCGAGGCAAACATTACAGTGGCCGCGGCCTACCAACTTTTGATCAACTTAGCGATCAACAAAGTCTCGCACAGTTATTAGACGATTTCAAATCAAGTCTGAGTCAAGCCATTGAGGCGAATCAACAGTTGCGTGATTTGCTATCGAATCCACCATCGAGCCGGCAGCCATCGAGTCGATTCAGTCAGTACAGTGATGATTTTGAACATACAAGTGAAAATAAACAAAGCGACATCAGTGAATGTATCACCGGTCCCAATGATCTGTCAAGCAAATCTAAATACAACGAGAGCACATTGCAAACAAATGGCCAACTTACTGTTGATAAAAATAGTTCGGTAAATGAAACTGATCGAGTTGAAGTTAGTCATAGCAACGTATCAACTGCAACTAATGTCATTGAAAACTACAGTAACATTACGACGAATGTGAGCACTTCAAAGCAAAACTATAGCGAAAAAACCGTTTCAAATGATTTTGAAGAGAGTCAAGAAAAAGAAGAGGAAGAGGAGGAGGAGGCGGAAAGTACCCGTGTACCGAAAGAGTCATCCACTTTGATTGAAGAGAAAATTGACGATTATCAATCGAGCGAATCTCCGACAAATAATGATTTGAAAAGCGTATCATTATCCATTGCAAAGATGTCGGCTCCAACGACGAGTGATGACACCGACCAACCATCAAACGCAATTGAATCGTTCAGTAAGCAAATCATCGGCGATGCAGATGTGGCAAATGAAAGCATTGGCAGCGATATTTTCAACATTTTCAATAAGACAACGGGTGTGAGTCTGATGGAAGATGTGAACCAATCGATTTGGTCGGAGCATAACATTAGCTATTCAACATTGGGAATGGTAAATGGTCTTTCTTATGTACTTTCTAACTGTTTCTTTGTACGTATATCATCCGTCTAGTCCTTTGAAACGTCGTATATTTTCATTTTTTTGAAAAATGATGGCCAATCAATCTTGTCATGTTAATACCCACACATTTTAATTGATTTTTTTCATCATTTTTCTTCAATTTTCTCCCCAAGTGTGACCAACTGTTAAAGTCTGAAACGCGTAAAAGTGAAGACTTGGCATCACTGCTGAAAATCCGTGAAAAGTCATTAATTGATCGATTCAAGGGGCAAATTGCCTGGTTGGAATTGCAAAAGCAGAAATTCAAAGAAAATGGCCTCACATCGGAAATCAGTATGATAAAGAAAAAGCAACGTGCTCTGTTACTTCGCCTAAACAATGATCGAAAGGAATTGCATCGTGTATTGAAAGAGCGACAGCAATCTGAGAATGCGATGCGCAATTCATCGATTGTAAATTTCAATATATCGCATATGAGTACAAACATGAGCATTCGCAAAACATCAATTTCGAAGCAATCCGACAGTACTTCAGCCAAACGAGCACTTAAAGCGATTGAATTACCCGGCGGTGGTGTTGCACTCGAAACGTATGTTGTTGTTGTTGTTTTTCACATTTTCATTACAGTATTTTTTTTTTTTAATTTGTGTTTGTGATTCCATTTGGTAAAAGTCAATTTAATAAAATTAATTTACGGGCTTATCGATTTTATTTCCATGTTTGCAGTATGTTACAAAAACGGGAAAATGAATTGCGCCGTCGGCGTGAACATGTTGAAAAATTATTAAGATGGCATCAGCGTTTGGATGTTGAAGAGCGTGAGGTGATAAAAATGGAGCAAATGATTATGTACATTTCAACGAGTGACGTTTATCAAACAACAACTTCACATGAACAAATCAATGACACATTGGCAATCACCGTGCAACGCAACAGCAAACGAACGAACTGTCAACGCAACGAGATTTCAGTGCATGAACGTTCGTTAACGAATGTCAGTGATTTGGTTACAATGGAAAAAACACGGTTTGAGCATCGAAAACAAAAACAAATTCATAAAATTGAAAAAAGTTTAAATACACTAAAATTAATATCGTCGCAAAGCATTTCATCCGATATTGATGGTTCAACGGTGGACGATGTGGTGGAAATTTTTGGTCGTCAATTGAATAAATTGTGGAAACGATTGACGGGTGAATATGAGAAAAAATACACACCAGACAAAGTGTATAAGTTGAGCAAATCGGATTTGGAATTGCTGTATGAACAAGCAAAATGCGTGGTTTTAAAGCAATTTCATAAAAATGATGAGTTTAAACGTCGTCTCATTGACAATTCCATGTCAATTATTGATGAGAGTCAACGCCATAGCATTTCAACGCCACAACTTGCCGTAAACGAAACAAATATCGAGAAAAAATCATCGGAACAAGAAATGCCGACATTGAATTTGGTCAGTTCACCAGAGCCAAGGGAAAATGTGATCTCAGACACGGACCAAGGTTATTATTTTTCAAATAATAGTAATAATGAAGAAATCAGTGAGCAACAAAAGCAAACAAAAACTGATGCACAAAGTGTTGAAGCATCAACATTGGATGGCACTTCGGAAAATCTTGAAAGTAGCCAAATTCGAACCGAGCAAACGGTGGAAGAAGATGAACAGAGTGAAAGTATTCAGGATGAAGTTCAATCGGATATTACCGAAGATTCGCTTAACAAACCAAAAACAACAAGTAGCGAAGATGTTAGCCCATCGCACATTAAAACAATATCCCATGCTAATGAATCACGCGTCAATGAAAGTGGAGCATCATCACAAATTCCATCGGCCATTGAAACCAGTCATACCACCGTACCTTTTGAACTAAACATTTCTGAGAATCACACGCAATTGATTGAAGAAACGTCATTCCCGAACATCGATATTCAAACGACCGTTTCAAGCGTGATTGAAAGTGATTTGAGTATGGTTTCAAAGAGCTCAGTGTCACCGGTGAAAAAATCCACATCAAACATCAGCTCACGCCCATCCGACGAACAAAAGTACCAGTCCAATGATTTTGAAGATGGTAAAAGTGCCGATGAACTAACCTCAATTTCAACGGCAACTATCACCAAAATTGCAACAACAATAACAACACCAACAACAATAAATCAATCAACTGAACAAACCGTCACACCGCAAACTGAATCACCAAAAGAATTGGAGCAACGTTTAATTCTAATCGATGATGGACTAAAAGAGTTACATGAAATTATTTCGCATTCACCGGTGTTACAAACGGAACGTGAAAGTGGAAATGGCAGTGAAGGTATTGAAAGTGAAAAATCAACAGGTACCAAATCGCCGTTATCTGACAATGAGCTTAAGGCAGATGATGATGAAAATAAATCAACGGAAAGTGGAAAAAGTGAAGAGAATTCCGAAACCAACAATGAAAAAACGGTTGAACATGATACTCCATCCGAATCGACGGTAACCGAGCCGAGTGTTGAAACTAATGAAACACCAAAAATTGATTCCGATGAAAGTACGGATAGCATTGCGGCCGAAATTGCTGCTAGCAAAATCGATACACACACATCGGCCGAATCAATGGCCCAGAAACGACCATATCAATACACACTTAGCGCCGGTTCGATTGACTACAACAAAGTCCCTGAAGCTGATGCTCTGAAACGGTCACAAATTCCATCGGAAAATGAGGTGAGAATTAAAGCGATTTTTTACATTTTCCGAAGATTTATTTCTCGAAGAAATATTTTAAATTTTATTGTAATATTTCAGATGAAAGCAACGGAGCAGCCGTCTGTTATGTTTCCTTTCTTACGAGAAATTCCGAACAAACCGCCTCCACCGTATCCAGTGCATCGACAACTGCCCATAACACCTCCATTTCCATGTGATGACCGTATCAAGGAGATTGTTAATCGACGCGTTGAAGAGTTGTACATGAAATTGAATTCCACTCAATCACCCGAAACTCCGGTTCGCAGTGATGCAACATTTGTGAAATCACCATCGCTATCCATCACCAGCCCCCAATCACCGGCCGTTCAAGAGGAGACAAACGTTTTCGAACGCATAATTCTGGCGAGTTGTGAAGAAATTATGCAGGAAATCAGTGTGCCCGAACAACAGTTGGCCGCCGATTTTCGATTGCCACTCGAATTCTACAATCCACCGGATCGATTAAAGTGTTTCCAACAGCATACGATAAAACGTATTTTCAAATTACTTAATCGATCAAGTGATGCGTCCAATGGGAGTGTTGGTGATGGTGACGCAAAATTATACACCGGATTACGCTCATTTTTACCGTCACAAGTAGCCCAATTAACGTTTAATAATCGCCGCAAACGCGATGCTGTGGATGAAATACTGATTCAGGAACTGTACGAAGACGAGGCACGATGGACCAATTTCGATTTGGAGGAGAAAGAAATACGGGATAGTGTGACTGATTTGAAAACACTATTGGCCGACGATTCATCGGGTGCACATGAAACTAGCATAAATGCAACAAACACCGAATGAACTTTGAAGAATTTTTTTTTTTTTAATTAATTTTAAGGTTAATTTTTTTTTCGTCCACGTTTTGGTAGTCGTTTTACCAATATTGCATTTGTAGTACTATTCCATCATTTTATTGTCATTGCTGATTAATGAATTGTTTTTTTTTCTATTTTTTTATGTTTTTTTGTGAAGTTTTAAATTGAAAAATCCATAAAGTATATACACAGACATAATGCACGAAATTTTTTAAAGAAAGTATAAAAAAAACATTTTCAAACAGGCTAGGTTTACTATTAGAATCACAGACAAGCGGAAAAATAAATGAAATAAACCATTATTGTTAGCGTTGCAGTTTTGATTTCAGATAATTTGCAGGAATACTCCGTGGCATTTCGAGTAATAATTGGCTTACAACAATAATCTTCTTTGTCACACAGAAACGAATGAAAAGTGCATGGAATTTTGCTTATTCAACTTATTCACAAAACATGCATAGTGTTCCAGTCATTCCTCAAGGGGCAATGTGGAAATACACACTAGACATCCATGTCCATTGCGGACGTTTTTGTTCACTTTTCTCTCTGTTTCGAACATCTGCATAATTAGGCAAAGTGTAATGTGAAATGTCATTTACGAAATGCAAAAAATCTCAAAGGACTACTTAAGTTTTAGACCGTCTCTTTCTCTTTCTTTCTCCGGTGGGTTAAAATGCAAATGAATATGGCTACTGAACAATTTATGTGGAGAAAATGATCGACAATAACCGTATAAAACAATCACCCGAATGTCTTCAATGACCGACTCGAAATCAACAGAGAGAGCTAATATTGAATGGCACACAAGAGACTCAATTAACGAGCCAAAATGGTTTGTATGCTGTGTATAGAATGTAGTATATGCGTATAAAACTACTGGAATGAGATACAATTGTGGCTAATATTGCATCTCCATTATGGTACATTTTGGAGCGTTGATTACAGCCATAAAAATGTGTCAGTTTTTGAAATCATTCGGTCAACGAATGGAAAAAATCTACGATGGTAGCCAAATATTTGGTCAACAAATTTTGAGGAAAGTAGGCGGTTCTTCAACGATTTTCGGAAAGCTAAAAATCAATTCATATACTTTCTATTAAGAATGTCTTTTTTGTCGAATACGAAACGATTCTTTTCGATCATAAGTTTTAGTTTTTCCGATAGTTTTCTCTTATTCGAATTGGGTGTTAGGAATATTAAATGAATGCTTCTCATTTTCATGTCGAAAAAAGATAAGGGGTGTGCTGTTCCAACTTCAAATAAAAGCCAATAGCCCTGGTAATAATCCATGGATTGATGTTCACCAATCACACACACACACAGAGACATACTCTCTCTCTCTCTCTCTCTCTCCCTGTAAATCAGCACTGTTCTCGAATGGCGTATTAAAGAAATGTTCAAATGGATCAAATTGATTTTTTGCTGTTTTGTTGTTATTTTCGAAACGTCAACAGAAAACAATTGGATTGTTTTTGACTTCAGACCGTTATCTCCAATCTCCAATTGATTGGATGTTCTTGTGAAAACATCAATTTGATAGTGACGACGAAGAAAAATTAAAGCTGAATTGGAAACAGTCGGAGGTCGTTTTGTATGTGGATCGGTGTACGGATGGCGTCTGCACATGTGTATGTGTGTGTGTTAATCATTGTGTTCGTCGAATAGAAATTGCCTATTTATCGTGAATCGTTTACAAATTGTTCCGTTTCTCTCTCTCTCTCTCTCTCTCTCTCTCTCTCTCTCTCTCTCTCTCTCTCTCT